CAACTTTCTACATCTGCATAATAAATTGAATACATCAGAAACTATAAATAATTGCCAACAACTGCAAACAAGCAACAAGTTCAGACGGCAAATGAAGAAATTTTGTTAGAATTGCGATTTTTGAAAAATGTTTGCGTGTGTGCGTCTACGTGTGCGTGTGCGTGTGCGTGTGCCTCGCAGCGAAGGCTAATGGCCCCAACAGAGAACAACAACAACAACATCAGCTAACAAGTTGGCCAACTTGTGCGAGACAAGTGCAGGTAACACCATTGCCTGGTTCACCTGGTGGCACCCTGTACAAAGCAAAAAAAAACAACTCACAGGTAAATCACAAGACAACGGCAATAACAAACCAAAAAGCAGTTACAAGAGGCAAATTAGTTGTTAAAGAAATTATATGTATATGTATAAAAAAATGTATATATTTAAATATTTTTTATATTTGACAAATATAATTCAAGAAACAATAAAAATATATATAAATAAATAATATAATATAATAATATATGCGTTATACATTTTAAAAATACAATAAATAAAACAAATATTCTTTTTACTTATTTCAGTTTAAAATTTTTAATAATTCTTCACTGTAATAATTACTCTCTTAATTAACTCTTTAACATTCTTGGCACACTCCAAGCCCTCAAAATGAAATTTATTTATGAAAAATTAAATTATTTGACCTTACTTTAATGGCTCATTTCATATTGCCACAAGCGCATTGTAGCGTATTGAATGCTGCACCAGGCCGCTGCCAATTGACGCAAGTGTGTGTGCCACAAGCCAGGAGATGACCGCGACCGCGACAGCCGAGTCGGCAGTGGCAGACTCAGAGGTAGAGGCCAGGCAATCGGCCAAACTGTCAGGCATGGTGCGTTCTGTGCCAAAAGAGCAACCGCAGCAACAGGCAATTGGCAACTGGCAACTGGCAACTGGCAAGCAGCAGACATTGGACATGGACAGCCGACAAGCAGCAGGCAACAGGCAACAGGCAACAGGCGCAAGTCAAGTGAATGGCCAATGACCACCAAATTGGCAGTAAAGCATACAAAAATAACTTCAAATGGTCAAAAGGTTAACAAAATCAAGCAATGTGCGCGAAAAGAACACGATTTGTACAGTGGGTACAAGCAGGGCTGGGTGCAGATAGAGCTTGTTCCGGGATGATGCTGTTGCTGTAGCTGTTGCTGTTGCTGCTGCAGCTGTTGCTGCCAGTCAGCCAGCAGCATGTGCAACATGTTGCCAGCATTCCGTCAGTGGCGTCGAATGCTGCTGCTGCTGCCGCTGCTGGGATGCCGGGCAGCATAATCCCCCAGCCGATGCACAGCTAAAAAAATGATTAATGAGTTGCCTCATTACTTCGCGAAAATCAATGTCGCGCATTGCACTGTGCCGGGCCAGAAGGAAGTTGGCCATGTTGTCGCTGGGCCAGTTGCCGTTGCCGTTGCCGTCGCCTTGTCGCCTTGTCGCATAATAAATCGATCATATTTTTATGGCAGACTCAAATATCAAAATGTCAGCGCTGATTCTGATCAACTGCGACAATCTGCTCCTGTCGCACACGACGCTGCGACGCAAAAAGATTCTTTAGCAGCGCCTCACATGTGTTTGCCGGCAGCCTTGGAGCGCCGTGTGCTCTGTGATCGAGTGACTGACTCCGACTCCAACTTCGACTCTGGCTCTAAATCTGAATCTGAATCTGAAGCGGAGTGACTCTCGCGCGCTTCGTGCTTGTGTTTTTTTTTAATTGCGGTCGCGCGTCTGCTTCCAGTGCCCGCTTGAGGTCTGCCTGCCTGTTGCAGTGGATCTGGATCTGCGCCTGCTGTGGTGCTGACTGATTTTATTTATTAAACTGTTGACATTCTGTTTACTCGACTGGCGCTTTGCTTCTTTTGATTCCATCACCCGATATCGATATCAACAGCTGCGCTGGCGCTTGCAACGCGTTGAATTTATTGCGGCTTGTAGTAATTGATTAACTTGAACGAAAGCTGCGATTGATTGTCAACGGTTCTGCTTTAAGAATCGTGTAGTATTAATAAAAAAATAAACCCAAATGTGTATAAATCTCAGTTGCAGTTACTAATATCAATTTGCCTCGATACAAAAGATAAGGCTTAAACAATGCATTTGGAGTGCCAAGAAATTGGGTTTAGTAAACAACTAAAATATTTAGTCTTTAAATAACCCTTATGAAGTTCAAAAATAAATCTTGCTCGCAAGATCGGTGTATGCCACGCAGCACCTTATATATAAAATGATTATGAACTGCTTTAAAATTAATATAAATGCCATAAGAGAAGTACAGCCACTAGAGAAGATAGACTAGATTCCTCTTGGCAGGTAAGACAAAAAATCTCTCTCTTAGTCTTTCTTTAATTTTCTGTATTATTTATCTGGATTCATAATAGCAGCTAAGTCTAAAAATCTCTATTTTACTGTTGTTATATCCATCATATGTAGGCACAATATCTGCATATAGAAAATTGATCTCTAGAATCTATCTATTAGCTGTTTAATCTATAGCAAAACTTCTCCAAAACTTTCCATTATAAAATATATTATTTATGACTTTTAACAACTTTAAAACGACGCTCATCGCACACTGAATCAATAGTACTTAAAATACATCCTCTCTCTATTCAATGCTCGCTGCTCTAGCTTCATATCTTAATCGTTGCGGAGAAAGTGTGATATAATAAAAAGTATTATCAAAGTGCTTTGAATCAACAGCAAGTGGGAAATTTATTATCGTTAGACATATTTATTTTAAATGCCGCAATGTTGTTGTTGCTGTCGAGGGGCCAATAAACCGAAGCGATTGAACTCTTTATCGCTGGGGTTACAATGTCAACAGACTTGGTCAGAGTAAATATTGTAAATCTATAAAGGCGCACATATATATACTAATGCCAAATCGAACTGGCCTGGGGCGTGGGGTTTAAAATTTTATGACCTTTATCAAAGTATGCCCAGTTCGAGTTTACTTTTCCCACATAGGGCAAAAAAGTAAACGATATCTATTTCAATTAGATCAAATATACTAAACGAAATATTAAAGTCAATAACATTGAATGCGTGTGTTTGGCAATGGATGTTGTTCTGCTGTTGTTGTCCGCAGCACAGAAAAAGTTGAATGGCATTGCAAATGCGCAAGAGCATGAGCTGTGGCCAGCGGATGGAGCAGGTTGTCAGGGTTTCTTCATTTTCTTTAGCTTCTACAAAGCGACAACAGCAGCTAAGTGCCAGCAGCAGTTTGATTGTTATTGCCAATGAATGAATGCACTTGCTACCTTCGTCTGTGAGGATTGTCTGGCTCTGACTCCGACTCCGACTCTGACTCCAACGCCAGCAACAGCAACAGCAACAGCATCAACTGCACAACAGCGCCAGGGGGCATGCAACACATTTTGCAGTCTGCTGCTATAGCTTCTGCTGCCATTGTTTTCACTTCGACTGCTGCCCTTTGTTGTTGCGTAAGCCCAGGGGGGTGTGTTGATATTATTGTTGTTTTCCTGGTTGTTGCTGCTGCGACTGCAACTGCTCTTGCTTCTGGTTATGGGGCATTTGGTATTTACAAATGTGTTGGCAATGAATTTACCGCCATGCCACAAACAACATTTCCGACTCCACACCCATTTAGATGTAACTCAACTCATTGTCGCTTACATTTTCACACTTTCTTTGGAGCGGGAGAGAAACTCGTTAGCTGGCTAGAGCAGCTGCTCCCTGGCAAATGAATTAATCCATGTTTTGCTGTTACACATGATTTATTGATATTTCCTTGCTCCTCTGGATATTCCTATGTTCTGTTCAACTCGACTTCAGCTTTAAATTTAATATTTCTATTTAAAATTGCGTTCAGCAGAGACCGAATTGCTCCTACAGATAAAACTCTAAATACTTTTTGTTCTAGAATAAAATTTGAAAATGCGTTTAAATTGGTTTTAATTAAACATTGAAAATTATTTTAGAAATGGAAATTGCAATTTTATTCACTGGGAACAGATTGCTGACTAAGCAGTGCGCTACATACATTTAATGCTCTCTGAATATATAATTTAAACTAGGTTGTTAGAGCTGTAAGTTTATCGATATATATATATATATTTAATCGGTTTTTAGATAATGTAATTATGTACTTCAAATACAAAATATTCTATGTGAGCATATAAAAGGAAGCGCACATCAGCTCTTCGCCTGGGCCAGGTATCTGCTAGTTGGGCAGTCCCTACTAAAACGCTATTACCTATTAATATTGTTTCTTTTAAAGATCAACCTAGTCACGCGTACCCTCTCTTTCATTTTCTCTGTCTCTTCTATATCTCTATCTCTCTTTCTCTTTCTTACTCTTTCTCTCACTCTCCTTTCCCCACATATTTTACAAGAGGAATCCGTTGAAATTTCAACACCCTTCACATACATGAAAGCAAAAATGTTGTTAGGCGCTGAATGTCCATTGTTTTGGTGCTCGACAACAACAGCAACAGCAATATAACCACATAAATTAATGTGCATACAATACTTGTACTCGTACTCGTACGACAACCATAATAACAAGCGATGCGGTGCAGTGTCGACAGCAGGAATCGCCACTTCTTCAATTGATTTTATAAGAGGCAGCACGAAACGGCGTTGTTGGTGGCCAACGGTCAGAGCTTATTGGTGGTGCAAAGGGAGCTGCATGCCAGTGGAGGGAACTTTTGGAACAATGGACTAACGTATAACGAGAGGTATTGTGTGGCACCATATTGAATGAATTGATATTGGTTTTGACCAGCGGCAGAGAGTGGAACAAAACAACGTATTGAAATCGTATCAATTGAAACCAGTTTCGATGTCGTTGTTAACACATGTTGGTCGGAACTTAAATCTGCACTCAATTGGCAGACAAATAAATTTTCAAATGCCAGCAGCAGGACTTTGTGGTGCGGAGCGTTGTACAACGACTGCCAGTAGGCCTTGGGTTTAAAGTTGGAGCAGTTGCTGTTAACTGTTTAGACAGATTCATTTTTATTTCGTAAGTCAACGAGCAGCAAATAAATAAAAATTTAAAAAATTCAAGTGGTTGCACAATGTCAAACCTTCAAGATGTACCGCTTGCCGCGCCAGAAACTATGCCAACAACTGAACACGACACAGCCGGAACGAAGTCCAATTCGCTGAAACGCTTCTTTAAGCTTGGCAAGAAATCCATCGCAAACCATGAATTCAGCGAGGACCCCAACGACGTGGAAGATGAGGCCAAGGACACTGTCAAACCTGGCAGCATTAGTCGTTTCCTTACCCGACTGAAGGGAGCTTCGAAATCAAGTAACTACTCTACCTCCATTATCAATCTGTGATCGTTGCCCTTATATATATATGTATATCTATATATATTTATTACTCAGGCACTGTGCAATTCGCAGAGCCTGTCGTGCCCGCTTCCAGCATGCTCAACCCGGCTGTGGAGGAAGCTACCGACAAGCCGGTGCCAAACGTAAAGCCCACAATTAAGACATCGATATCTGGCTATTGGAAACAGCTTTTTCACCGCCAGAAGGCGGCCAATCGGCAGGAAGAGAACCCGGCTATGGATCAAGAAGTGAACGAATCACATCAGATACCGCAGGAACAGCAAACTGATCCGGTCCAAGCTGAAGAGGAGCCCATAGTACCAACGGCAGAGCCATTGCCCGAGGAATTAAATATTATTGTGCCAGAAAAGACGATGGATAATCAAATAAACTGTATACCCGAGATACTCGAGGAAGTACAAATGCTCGCTATTTCCGATGAGGCTTTGAGTGCCTCGAACGAAGAGACCGAATAATAGGACAGGTTATAGCTATAATCTGCAAAAATTTCATGTTATCCAGTTTGTAAGAGCCTGCCAGCCTTCTGCCACACACCGCCCATACATTTTGAGGAATCCAAAGATACACACACGCACATTCACATACACACACACGCATATTAAACACATTAGTTCATCTGCAGTTCAGCTTTAACTTGAAACCCAAATGCTGAATAAAGCATATTAAGAAAAGTCGATATATTGTGGAGTTCTATTAACTACTTGCGCAGCCCTCCACAATTACAGCCTGTAAAACGATTCCAACTTGGCTTGGTCAGTTCACAAAGTTCAGTTAAATCTGTCGTTAAAGTGTCTGCCGGTTTTAAGTTCCCCCCATTTTTTTGGCACTTACCTGCAGCAGGTTAAAAGGTGCCGCATGAACCAGACGAAAGTCCTGGACAACCCCGAAAGAAGCCCTAAAATACGACAGCCCTCAAGCTCAAGAGAACTTTTTTGCCTGTGTTGAGTGTCATTGATTAATGATATTTACATTTAAGTAGAATGCCAAAATCTATTCACAATACCGAAGCCAACGGCAAGTTTAGAATGAAAAATAAATGCTTAAAGAAGGAACGTTCAGAGTTATTTATTTACATAAAAATTAATAGTCTACTAAGCCAATATTTAAAATTTACATTATATAATTGCTTGCAATAATTGACTCTCATTCTAATTATTGCTAAATAAAAATAAAACTTGGATGAGAAACTTGAACTCAGACTACTTCACATTTCTGATAGATATCTTTTACGGTATTTTTTACTGTAAGTCTACAAAAATGATGCATGTGTATTACTGGGAAAGTCTCCAATGGAGAGACTTGTTGCGTTTCAGACAAACAGCTGGAGAATATTTACAAACATGACGGGGCAACTGCGCAAACTCGACTTGGCAGCAACTGATAAGGACAGCAGTAAATATTTACACGGGAGCCGACCAAAACAAACACTTGTTGGTTCAGGCTGTCAAGTCGGAAAAGCGGGAAAACCGCGACAACTGCAAAATGCGAAGTAAACATTCGAAATGCGCATGTTCCGGTTTCAGCTGGTTTTTCGGGCCACTTTCGGGGTGAGTATTAATCAGCAGTGGAAAAAGTGGGTCAGTGCTCACTCCACGGCACATTCCGGCTATAAATTTTATTCAAATTTAACTAAGGCAATTCAATTATAAAGAATAACAAATAAACCAAAAGATACCCGAAAAGACTATACAATTTGTGAAACAAGTGTGAAAAACTCGGTCAAAGTGCTGATTGACATCTGGTGCACAGCAAATATCTTGCACAGATACATACGCACACACACATACATACACGCCCAATCTGCGAACACATACAGAATTCAGTTTAGTTATAGAGATTTTTCTTTGTGGTCAAGGTGCTCCGTCAACCCGTAAAAAATTGCAAATTTATTGAAAAAACTAGCTAATTTCGAGGTGAGTTTATAAAAAATAGAAAGCTCCGACTCTAAACTATCTTAGACATATGAAATTTATAAATATTGTCTGAAATTTAGCTGCAATTGAAGCACTTTACAGCATCAGTCACAGACTGACATAGATTACGTAATGTCCACTGGACCTCAATTTAGCTATTTAATATTTTTAAACACTTTCTGTAGAATGCGAAGTCGCTCGGCAGCAGTTTCGGCAATGCAAAGGAGTTGTCTGATATAATGACTGGCAGCTTTAAGGTGCAACTCATCAACATGGGCACTCGCGCTGCCGCCTGTAAGTATGCCACAGAAGTCTCAACTTGCAACATGTATGCCCTGTACTCACTGAACAGAGGCATATGTGTTAGGTGACGGGCAGGTACAAGTATGTGTACACAACTGCTCGGTCATCTAGTCCTATCTGACACGCTTAATCATATTTTTCCACTTACAGTTCAGGCAAAACTGAGAGCCCTCCATGAATACCATGTACGCCTCTTGCACAACGTCTTACCTGCGCCCTCTGGCGTCGATATTGCTAACAATATCAAATACTTTTCTCAAACTCTACTGAGTAAGTTCCAGCCAAAGACGCCCTATTATCACACCATTAACATTTTGTAACTCGCAGCTGTCCTTAAAGACGTGCGCACCTCTCCGCATGAGCTTATTCGCGACCCTCTCGAAGACCCTACACGCATGTCTGCTTATCCAAATCTTGAATATGGCAATCTCTATAATGCCCTGACCATGCTCATCGATGTGGCACCTTGCATACAGTATGGCCAGATTGGTAAGATCCAAATTATAATATAGTAAACTCAGCCATATTGAGCATTATATTGACTTTATTTTCAGTCTTCGGCAAAGCTTTGCTGCAATGCCTCAGCTGTATTTTACCCTTCCTCGACAAGGATCTTATTGATAATCTACCCTATCTAGTTAGCTCTACTATATCTGTACTACCGCCAGCCTTGCATCAGGATATTGTCAATGCATTGTGCTATTATATTCTACCCTTTACTATAAGTATGCTTCAGTTCTACCTACTTATATCTTTGGTCTAACATCATTTAACAACAGCACGTCGCAGCGCCGATGAGCAGGAATGCCAAGCCTGTCAATCAGTCTCCTCTGTCATCATGATGGTATTGCAGTACTCGAAAAATCCAGGTAAAATCCGCTCGAATTGCTGGATGCATGATATATCAGTCTAAACTTTCAGCTCACCACTGTCAACTGCTCGAGTGTCTGATGACTCTGAAGCATAATGTCGTCAAGGATATACTCTGCGTGGTGGCCTATGGCACGGCAGTTTCGCGCTCTTCTGCGGCCAAGCTGCTCTTCTACTACTGGCCAGCATTTGATCCCAATCTTTTCGATCGCAAAGTTTTGCTCTCTAAGCTTACCAGTGAGTAGAGGAGAAGAGTGTGAAAATATGATTTGGAAATGGAAAAATCAAAAAGAAATTAATACGAAATGAATTTAATAGTCCCTTAAGCCATGTTTCTCTAATATATTTAAGTATATTCTTAACTCTCTCCAACCGTACAGATGACTTGGTTCCATTCACCTGTCAACGCGAACACTGTCCCAATGCTGGCAATGCTGAGGCAGCCAAAGTATGCTATGATCACAGCATTAGCATCACCTATGCCCAGGACTGTCCGCCGCCGTTGTATCTGTGCATTGAGTGCGCCAACGAGATACATCGGGAGCATGCGAATTTGGAATTTGGCGATATACTGCATCCCATGCAACAGGTGTCGATGGTGTGCGAGAACAAGAACTGTCGCTCCAACGAGAAGTCTGCCTTCTCCATATGCTTTTCGACCGAATGCGCCAGTTTCAATGGCAATCATCCCATTCGCTATTGCGCCCAGTGTCACAGCAATCGTCACAACTCTCGCCGTGGTGGTGATCATGTGGTGCATCGCAGCCTGCAGCCAGCCTGGCAGATGGACCCTGAGATGCAAATGCATATGGTAGAGTCGGTGGTCAGTTTGCTGCGCGAGGCCAAGCCACTGAACTTTGAGCCGGGCAAGGAATCCCTGTTGGACGTGAAGAAGAACGGCATTGGGACCACGCCCGACAACATTTCGCTGGAAGAACGCCAAAGGCTGGGCCGCTATGGCATTTGGTTGCTGGTGGGTCGCTGCACACCCACTGCCGACACACCGGTCGAGATCCTGGGACGCATTCTTAGCATGCTCTTCCACTGGTTTCATGTCACAGCCTACTCCTACGATGGTAAATTCAGAAAGTAACGATTCACCCACACTGAGCTAATCTTAATGTTTCATTCGCAGCTGCTGGCCAGGTTGAGAGCACCATAGAGAAGCTGAAAATCGATCACGTCTGCAACTGGTTGAAAGAGATATGTCGCATACACTACAACGTCTTCATCTCCTGTCTGCTGCCACATCCGCCAGAGTACGCCCGTGTAGGTGGCCACTGGGAGACGCTCGCTTCGCGCACCAGCCACCTGAAGGAGGGTCTGCAGCGTCTGATTTGCCTGGTGCCCTACGAGGTGATCACTTCGGAAATCTGGGACTACGTGATGCCGCACTGGATGGAAGCCATTACCAACGATGTAGCCGAAAAGGAGCTCAACGAACTGAAAATTGTGCTCAGCAAAATACTCGATCCGGAAATGTCGCCCTTAGGCTTCGATGCCAAGACCATGTACAACTTTGTGGCCATACGATTCGAGAAAACAACAGCCAAGGTTCAGCAGCAGGCGCTCCATTGGCTACAGATCCTCACCAAGCTGGAAATACTCATACCACTCGTCCAGCTCTTTGCCATGTTTGGCGACGGAGTTCGTATCATGAAATATGGCATACAGCACGAGCTGATGCGGGAGAAGGAGAAGGAGCCGCAGACTCAGCAGCAGGCAAAAGCGCCCAAGACGCCGTGCAAGGAGAGCAAGGCCGAAATGGCCAATCCACCCAGGCGCAGTTCCATTTGTATGTACTAAATGCTTTTTATCATAGTTAGGCTAATTAAATTGTCAACCTCTTGCAGCGCCTGTTGTGGAGGATGACTCTGGGAATACGTCGGCAATATCGGATGATGAGGCGCCTACCAATCGTCACACAGAATTTTCAACGGATGCCGAACACAATCTCACCTGTTGCATACTCATGTTGGACATTCTCTTGAAGCAGATGGAACTGCAGGACGTGGAGCAGCACATGGGCATACACACCAGCGTCTGTGAGAATGTCTCACGTCTGATCAAGTGCATGGTGACCGCGGCCCGGGTAGGTCTAAGCAGTCATGTCTGTGCATTAAAGGTGAGTGCTTAAACTGCTTTCAGTGCAACTACTGTAAGCTGAGAGAATCTCATGCGATTCCAGGTGGCTGAGTGCGCTTACTGCGAGGCCTCCACTATGTGGCATCAGCTGTCGACGAAACTGGTGGAGTTCATGGCACCACTGAATCCCGTCAGACCACCCGATGTAGGTGTCTTAACGTTTATCCCATATCATATCTGACTAACTGTATAAACTCAGGTGCCAATTGAGGACATCATCGAGGAGGAGAAGTCGTCTCGCAAATCGCCACCCGAATCTGAAAAAGAGAAAACCCGCGACGTTTCGCTGTCCATGGCACCATTGCCAATTCCATTGGGTCCGCTCGGCGGCTTTGCAGGTAAGCCCAGCGCATTCCGAGCGCTCCTTAGTTGATTTGCGAACTTCGGTTGTAAAGTACCTTTCGAAAAGTCTCCAAGTATTATATCTAATTCAAACCCGCAAAACCTAACT